TAATAAAATATTTATTATTTATCTATGTTAGGTATTTAGATAATTTTATTGGTATCAGCTTAAATATTTGGAAATCGCTTTCATGATTTTATGCGACATGGAGCAGATATCCATTTCAATGACTTGAAGGTTGTAACGCAAAAATTGTCATAACTTAAATAACTAAACTAACAAAATTTAAAAATACTATAAGTCGAGCGTTGCGTAGTTTACCTTTATTTTTGAACTCAAAAACTGTTTATTTTGTGCAATAAATATAAGTTAGGAAATTAGTTAAAAAAATATTTATATTTTATACACTTTATACATTTGTTTTTATTTATATATTGCGTGGTAAGAAATAGGGTGAATTTCAACTTATTTTCCTTATTTTTTTTTTATTAATTTATTATAACATAAGTTTATAAGACCTTATAATGTATGATTTTGTATTCTATATAGGTACTTACACGTAGCGTTAAAAGTAGGTAAATAGGTATAGCCGTATGTTGTATAGTATATCCAAATCAATTCTCATCAGTATTAAAATTATTTTCTAGTTCAATATATGCATGGTTTTTGTCATAGTTAAGACTTTTTATGATAAATAACAATTGTGTATATCTAAAAAAATGTTATATTATATAAAATATTATATTAATCTTCAGAATTATACGTACGACTGTACGAGATAGGTATTTTAGTTTTACCGATTATAAAACTGATTGAATCATATTATATTATTCTTTCATTCAAATCAATATATCTATACACATATATAAAAATAAAAATATAAGTATAATATATAAACATATAGTATAAATAATTATAACCATAATAATAGAATGTAGCCGTAGCGTATAAAAGTACCTATAATGTATGATGTTATAGTGTCAGATAATTGTTTTGAAATCAATCAATTATTTATATCTGCTTCATTATTCTTCCTATTCTAACATAAGATAACGATAACTTTTTTTTATAATATTATAAGTACATTTTTAATATAATATATTATGTTTTATATCCTTGTGCTGCAATCTAATATGATATATATTATAATATAATCTATGAGTACAAATCTGTTATAATGACATCAATACACAATTTATATATAAAATACTATATTTAGTCTAAATGTATATAAAATTAACCAATAACTAAACATACTTATACATAAAATATTGTATATTATTTTAAATATAGTTATTAAGTATATATGTAAACATTATACATAAGTATTATGTCTACACTATACATATTAATTATTATTATAATAATCTTAAGCAGTGTACCTATGTATAATACCTATAATACTGAAATAACGAATAAAATTAGTTTCCTTTTATAATCTAAAAATCTATAAAACAGTAGCCGATGGCTTATATGAGTCTTATAAACTGTATTACTTATATAATGATGAGTTATTTATTATGTGGTAATAATAATTAATAAATAATAAATATTATAATGATAATGAATCTAAAGCTATAATTGGCTTAGGGCATAGATATATATTTATCTAAATCGCAAAGTGAATATTTTTTTAAATTTTCACACATACGGAAGTTATTAAATAATATTAAAATATCAGTCAAAAAATGTGGGTTATACGACCTAAATAATAATATATGAATAGCGAGGTATACAGTATACCTACATAAATATAATATATAATAGAATATTTTTATCGATTGACTAAAATAGTGTAAAATACTAGCATTTTTATACCTATATGCTTACAATACATGCATCTATACACCACAGACCACAGTGTTTTTTATAGTAGTGTGAAATTTACAAAAGTAGTAACTTGAAACAAAATGTAAAATACCAAAACAATAATGTATATGCATGATGTATAATCTCCATACATATTATAATCAGTTAGAATATTAAAACTGGACAAAGGTTAAACTCTAAAACACTTTTTTCATCCAATAATATATCTACACATATTATATTATATTCTTTTTGATTTCAGCGTGTGTCAGCATACTATAATACCTAGACATATATTATAATGATATGCATCATGATTATTATAAACTATAACAAAACACGTGTATCTATATACACATAGGCGTTCGCACGGGGGAGGGGTGGATAGGCAGCGAACCCCCCTCTGGCCTCTGACTTTTCCTTTAATAAATGCATAGATAACTATACTATACTAGATAGCGAACATTTTAAAATTTTAAATGAAAAAAATGAAGCTAGTTTTAATTTTATAGTATAGATGTCTGTGAATAAATGTAATAACGGTATTACTTAATTAGTTATCATCAACCAAATGATTTATTATCACAGAGTATTATACTATCCATTCTGATATCAGCTAGCGGTTCATTTTTTTTTATCACAGTGTAACTATCAACTACTTTATTTTTATATTTATGTTATTTCACGGTTTTAACTAGTAAATAAAAAACTTTTATAATGAGTGAAAGAAAAACTTGCATATACTACAAAAATTGATGATGTAATTGATACATGCGAAATGTTTACACCCGTGGACAAAATGATGGAGTTATAATAATATATAGCTATGTAAATAAGGATTACTTATATAGGTATAAATTTTGTAAAAAGTAATGATTTTTTATTATAATTATCTATATATATTATTAATATGTATTTTAATAACTTTCAATAGTATTTATTTTTATATTTGCATATTGTATTTAATAAATATTTTATAAAATTAACAATTAAATATTTAATTATTAGGGCCCGGAACTTGATGACCTAAAAATCTTTAAAAAATGCACTCAAAAAAACATTGAAATAATTTATAAACATTAAAAAATGACCCTAAAAATACCAAAAAATTACATAATATTTTCAAAAATTACGTTTTTAAATAAATAGTTTTTAATCATTAATTTATTATTTTATTTATCTGAATTTAAATAATGTTAATATTTTTATGCATTAAATATGTTTTTTTTACAGATACAGGGCCTAAATTAAATTTAAGACGAAGATAAGAAATAGGTAATGTCAGTAATACAAAATAATTAATCGGTATTTTTCGAAAAATAATTGAATGATTGGGCTGTACTAGCAATACGTTAATTTTTTGAAATATTTAGTTTTATCAAAATAATATAAAAAAAAAAAATGTAAAAGTGCAAATATATCTACAAAAATGCAAAAACTGCATTAAAATCAGTAAAAATGTTCGTATAATCAAAAATTACCAAAAAGTGCAAAATTAAAGTGATTCCATTGAATTTTACATAGTATATTAAGCTTCATTTCTGTAAAAACAAGCCATATTATCAAGCATTATTCGCTTATGAATAGACGCAGAATCTTTGATTCAGACTTTTTTTTGAGCCTTTTATAGATCCCCCTCCTGTGGACAAAGTCTGCGCACGTCTATGCCTATACATTAGTGAGCTAACATCAGTATAGGTATGCCTATACATTTCGAATCATATAATTAATATGAGTCAATTTTTTCCTACAACCATTGAGACAGATCTACACCGTTGCTCGCCCGCAGCAGTGATATTTTGTTACACGTGGTACTTATATAATATATATATATATATGTATATATATGGATACAAATATATTATATTCACAATATATACATCTATTAAATATAACTATAATTTATTTTATAATGTCAAACCCGTAGCTGTTTTCTTTTAAAATGTGAATTGATGCCAGCTTTTAATATTCTATAACTGTTGAACAAGTTTTGAATTCGTAAATATACATTTATTTTGACTTAACTGTTAGAACATTTATAGTATTTTCGTCATAGTACGTATAACCAGGCAATAACAATGCTTTATATATTTTTGTATATTACTATTGATATATTGTTAATAATAATGATTATTATCATTATTAATACCAAACCTATAGCAATCAGGCGCGTGTTCCTAACGGGATTTTGTTTTCACGGAAAAGCGGTATATAATGACCGCTACAGCCACAGCACATTCGCTAAATTAAAAACAGTTAAATAATAATTATATAAATAAAAACAATACCACGTTGCTGCCGTACCTATATTTACAGTGCAATAGTACCTTTAATAGGTTCATTGTAAATTATTTTTTTATAATATCATCTTAGACAGCGTTTTCCGCCATTAGTAAAGTCTCCTAATTTAAAATTAAGAGTTTGCGTTTTAATTATTTCAGTGTTTATCTGCTAAAGCGCAAATCGTCAGCGTTTTTTGTCGCGTATCTTATCTGTCGTGTATAGCTCGACTCGAATAAAAAACAATATATTTTGAATTCGACGAAAAACGCCGTGAATAGCTTCGGCTGTGTTTGCGTATATAAACGTATAACGATAATAATTAATAATGTATCGAATATACACAGTATACGGTAAAGGTATAACGATAATATTGCATACTATAATATAGGTACCTCCTGACTCCTACCTCAAATTCGACCGACGACGACGACAATATTATTATTATTTCTGGGCGTCGTCGTGAACTGTGCGACGGCGGCGGTGACACACGACGCCCCGCCCATCCGGCATTCAGCGACAAATGACATCGGTCGTACGGGGCCGTCCGGCCACTATGTGGGGACACCGCCGCCGCCGCCGCAACAGCAGCGACACTGCGGCCGCACTGCCACACCGGCCGCCGCTGCCGCATCGCACCGTCTCGTCGCTCTCCGCACGGCCCATACGACGTCACCGCTGCCGCCGCCGCCGTCGTCGTCGTCGTCCGCGTTTCTGTGTGCCCGTTTGCGCGCACGTCTGTGTCTGTGTGTGCGAGTGTCAGCAACTAACCGCCACCGTGAACCGCGCGCAGCAGTCACACACCGCTTCAGTACGCGGTCCGCCGTCTGTTGTGTTCGGCCGTACGTCGTTACAACGCGTCGTCGTCACCGTTTGTTTTTTCCGTTGTCACGCATTATTTTTCTCAGTGCGTTTCCTCCTCCGTTTACTCAGAGGAAACAATAATATTATCTTCGATATTCGCGTTCGTTGTTGTGTATAATAATGTTATATTAATTCGTTATTTATATATTATTCGACAATTATTGTGCGGTAATTAAAGAAAATACAATTTTTGGATCCATAGTTATTTTGTTACGTTAAAAAAAAAATTGCTCGTGTTTCGCTCGGAAGTGTGTTTTATTCTGACGCCGTGTCACTTGTCGTACATTAACCTAAACCCATTTTACCCACACTAATGAGAATCATCCGACGCCGACCACCCACATCAGTGCCGCAGAACGGTTAAAAGTTAAAAAAATTAGGTCCAATTCCGAGTTATTGTTAGTGAAATTCCACTCGAATTCCGCGCGCGTGTTCTGATTTCGACTGTTTGATGGTTATACACGGAGCCGCCACGGGAATCGCTCCAGCCGACATTCATCGGACCACTGAATCGTTATTCAATACCGGTTAGTATGAAATATTTACATAACCCATACCTATAATATTGGTGCGGATAGTGCGATATACATACAATTTATATAGTACATCATAATTATATAAATTTAATGTTATTTATTAGCCGATATAGGTTTAAATTTTTATACACACATTTCTATGCATTGATATTATTATTTTGTTTAATTATTATTTTATTATATATCGCGACTGTATACAGTGTACCTATTTATCGTTGTAACGAATAGGTATATAAGTGTTGAAATTTTGACGAAGTACTCCCTCTGGGCTCTGGCTAATTAGGCTAATTAATATTAGTAGGTATATCGGTGTTCAACTATTAGGCACCGGTAATTATTAATTGTTTTGTATAATATACCTACCTGCACACGTTTATAGTACCTATATTATAAAACAAGCGAATTTATAATATGTTCAAATATAATGTAGATGACACGGAGTTTTGACTTATCGCGATACCTATATATACATACATAACCACTAAAAACTAAATAACAAATTTCCCTATATTGGTGTAAATATAGATATACTCGTAATTTATAAAATAGGTAAATACATATAAACTTAGGATTTACAATAATAAATATAAAAGATGTATTGGCATATCGACCTGTGATTTTTTGAACTCGCTCAAAATTTAAACACTGCTGTTTAACCTTTATCTATATCTACTATTACATATTCACTAAGCTAAATACAATTGGATCTATGACAAAAATGGCGTGTAACAAAAATAAGTATATCACACGCCAAGTCCAACGAAATTTCCACAAAATTTACCATACAACATTATTTTGAAGTGTATTGAAGTATAATAATATTATGCTTTTTCCGATAGTTTTTTTTTTTATACACCTGCAGTTGTCAAAAATTTACTTAGATACATATGTAGGTACCTACATATCATGTAAACATACAATTAAAAGGCATTTCGTATATAATATATTAATATTAAAGTATATAGATAGGTACCTATAGGTATAATAATAATTGAACACCTATTTTTTTTAAATTTTTTTTTAGAAAATAAAGAAATTAAAAATGTATTTTTAAAGTGTCTTATAACCATTAATACATATTATACCTACAGTAATATTATATATATATATATTTATATGAAAATAAAAAATTCCACATTTTCTTTAAATATACTAAATGTACCTATTACTTATTAGTATATCTAGACCTACAAACAAATAAAATAGTATATGTGTCCTGCATTAATTTGCTATATGTATATAATATATTATATAACATAACTATATAATAGTTAGGTATCCTATATTTATATACGTGTAACAATATGTATTATCAGATTCATTATATATTTGAAATAATTCTCTCATGATAGAAATTTATTTAAATTTAATAATTTTTAGGTTTTTAATACAAATGTGTTATTACGTAGATACCTATAATACACTTCTATAATCAATATAGATATAAAGAATATACCTACTAAAGTTTATTTTTAAATTAGGATTCATTTTTATTTTATTTTATTTCTTCATAACCTTATATATTAAATAGTTTTTCTATTATTACATAAAGTTTTCATTGTTATCAAAATATTTTTATCATGAAAATTTATAATATAGGTATATATCTGTATTATATGATATGGTTATTAGACTTATATTTTTTGATATTTGACTTTTAAAAATGTATTTACTACATAGGTACATAAATAATATATATAATTCATTAATGTTAACAACTATTTCTTTAGAAAAAAAAATGTAGATTTCATTTTTATTTATTTTAAATTTATATTTACCTGTATAATAGTAATAAGCGAACACATCTAAACGTCTTTTATTTACGACACTATATACTATAATACTATTTAATACATAATCATTAATAATAATTATACACAAAAAAATATTAAATAAATAACTTTTCAGTTTTTATGACGTTATTGCTATAAAATATTTGGTTATATTGTGATGAGAACTTATAGTTATCAGGAAAATTTTAATTAATAATTCTAGGAACGAATATATATAGGTATGTTTAACAACCAATTATCACCTAAATTTTATTTCATATTAAATATTGATATTTTTAAATTCTGTTAAAATCATAGAACTTATATAGGTCAAAATCAATTGTAAATTTCTTACTGCGTTCTATAAAATGTAGAAAGACAACCATACCTAAAGATAATTGATAAAAAACGGAAAATTTGGAAAATATTTTAAAGAACTTTGAAGTATAATACATAGCGGTATATCTACAGTCTACACTCAACATAAATCATAATATGCTATAGTAATGACTATATAAGATATTTTATCTTAATTTTATTATAAAAAAAATCGTTTCTGTCAGAGTATACATATATCTAAATTCAGAGGATAGTATTTATATTATACGAGAATATAATTTATAATATATTATCGTCAAATACAAGAATATAAAAAAGGGGAGGCCGGCGTTGCCGCGCGCACAATGACAGCGAGGCCGGTGCGCGCGCGTCTCTACCTCCGCCGCCGCCAGTGTCGCCCGATTGTCACGCGACTATATACAGCTGTGGGCGGATCCCGCAGCGTGGTCCGGATGCGCCGCGTGCGTCTCCCGTTGGACGGGCGGGTCCGGTGTCGCGTTGTCGCGGCGCCCGGGGGAGACGTCGAACGAGCGGTCCGGGACGCGACGAGCGCACGCGGGGGGCCGGACGCCTGCAAGCGACGAGAGCGCGCGCGCATGCGAATCGCTCGCGGGGACGCGGCGGCGTCGGAGACATACCTGGCGCGCGCGGACAGTATCCCGGTCGGGCGACACTTCGGTAACCGTCTTGTCGCGTGACGCTCGTGTGCAGGAGAACAGCGCCGCCGTCGCCGTCGACGACAACGAACAAAACGCCGCCACACGCACAACGCGCACGCCGCGAAAACGAATCGCGCCGCCACCGCTTTCCGCGTGCGGCTGTTCCGTGTCGCTCTGTCTTCGCCGCCACTGCGACAACCGCCCTCTACACAATATTATTATATTTATAAATGTGCGCGCGCGCGCCCACCCGCCCGCACACACACACACACACAACGCACACACACACACATCTATATATGTTATATATACATATATATATATATTCACCTATATAGCGGACCTGTTCTCTATCACCGTTACGCTATAGCGCCGCCGCCTGGCGTTCGATCGATTGACCCACTTTGCCGGACAACGCCTCCGTCGTCGTCGCCGTATTATAGTCGTCACCACTTCCATCCCCTTTTTACGGACACACCGCTATCAATCCGGGGGGGCATAACAAGCGGGGGACGGGGGTGGGGCGCACGCCCTGCGCCGCCCGCTTCATGGACCAACTGCAGCAATGGCACCAGCAGCAGCAGCAGCAGCAGCAGCAGCAGCAACGGCGGCCACGGCCGTCGTACCACTTCGGTGGTGGTGAGTATGGATTTTTCGGCGCCATCATTGCCGTCACATCGTCTCGCTTGCTGCGTGTCGAACGAGGATGACAATTAATATTGTCATCCCCCCGCCCCTATCTATCTCACGTAATTTATCAAAACCCACACGTACCTATTACTATTACACAGCCTACAGTTTACCTCACGCATATGTTGTTTAATATATACGTAGATACCCATGAGTATGCAACATCCACACTCGCGGACGACTAATCCGAAATTTGTGTTTACAGTTTTTAATTTGATATATTATTTTTTTACCCTGAACCCATATACATATAGCGATATGTAGTTTAGGTACCTACCTATACGGAGGATGACTATACCGGCAACCGGGGCCGGTTATTACAACAATGGTATATACGTGCATTGTTTACGAAAGACGACAGCTGCCCTGTCGAAATTAAGAGGGTTATATCATTATAGGTACATAAAATATGTATTGTTATTACATATTATACTATATACTTAAATATATATATTATATAGGTAATGTGAAGTGTATTAGAAATATATTCTCTAAAAATTAAAAATTATGTAATATTGACACGGTGATTTTCTTGTATAAATATACCAGCTATGAATCCAAACGTGAAGATCGAGTTTATTTTTAACATCTTTTTTTTATTATTCATTTAGATCATATATATATATATATACAGACATTTGTGCATAAGCATATATTTATAATATTTTAGATATGTAATATGTATAGAAAGACCCTACTATGTTATAATAACTATATAATAATCTTAAATGCGCCTACGGCGTTAAGTATTTAAATATTATTATGTATATTAAGTATAATATCCCCTTGCGTCGCATCACCGAAACTCATTTATACGCATTTTTAATATTTAAATACGTTTCGATTATCTGCGTTTATCGCCATTTGTATAGAACAGGACGTGTTATTTAACGGTCGTACACTGTAACGTATTATTATAATTTATTTATATTATTTATTATAAGACATGACCACATGGGTACCTAACACTGTTGATACATAAAATACAATTTAAATTTGAAACAAATTATTATAATATTATTAGTTCTTATATTACTATCAAATTCATACATATTTTTTAATCATTCATCACATCTAATTTTATTTTATATAAAACATTATTTTAATGATTACATTGTCAACATTTACGACTTCCTTCTCTATAAGTAGGCAACTTCAAGTATAAATTTCAAATTATAATTTATAAACATATCTATTTATAGCAGTACAAATACATATATATCACATATATACATTCTATATTATATGTTAAAATTTTGATTTTGTATGATATATACATATATATATAGTATAGCTGGTAATGCCTTGTATAAATTGTACATACTTATAAAGCTCATATATATATATAAATACAACATAAACGATTTATTATAAGTTTTTATCCATATAACAGTCATAAAACGATTTTGTATAATATTCCTAATATAGCTATATATAGCACGCGTATGTATCTATTATATAGGTTCAATAGTAAGTATATATTCATGTCATATACTTCGTAGATTGATAAATGTCATTAAAAATAGAAACGAAAAAAATATTGCAATAATTTAACTATGCATATGCGAATAATGTACTGTTATATTACATTTATAACTAGATTTTGATTGACTGCAAATGTTATTATTTTTACGGTTGATTGCATTTACATTTATCACAGATAGTGATAGATAGATATAAGACTACGCATGTACGATTTGCAAATCTCATCTACAGTTTTGATTTTCCATATGATTTGCAAAAGATAACGGATTAAATCAAAATTTATAAAATATTGCATTATAGAGCTTATCATATCTATATATACCAATTACAGAGATATACTTTCAATATAATCTCATTTGTAATTTACAAACTAAATTTTTAAATTATTCATACATAAAGTCTTAACTTTTAAGTAATTATATAAAATTTAGATCTAGGTAGAATATATAAATACAAATATTTGTTCTTAATATAATATTATATATTTATATAGTCATTCACACCTAATGTATATGCATTTGTACAATAATACATATTATTATATATTTTATAGCAATATTACATATTTTAAATGAAAAATTATGTAATTGATAATCTTTAATATGTAGGTAGGTACTGCTTATATAATATATAATAGTAAAGGTAGTTTATATAGGTATTTTATCTTTACTCTTCCTATTAACTTATTGTTTTATGCAGAATAAATGTATAAGGTACTTAATAAATACCATATGTATTTTAATAAAAATTAATTTGCGTGTATATTTATACAAATTTAATATTCTAATACGTTGCGTAACATTATAAAATTAATTAAAATATAGGTAAATGTATCACTTTGAGATAACTTTATTTAAAAAAAAAAAAGGCTAATATCAGCAATAGCAAATGCATTAGGTTAGGTATCCGCGCAGTAAAATAATAAGTATAGTTGCATATAGGTATACCTAATATGTAAATGAATTTTCATTCCTATTGGTACTTTTCATGCTTACAAATATAATACATACAATATCTTTATCAATGTTTTTTAGGTAGATATACTTATGAGTAATAATTCTACATGTGTAATAATAACAACGAGAATTATAACCATAATCGGGATCACATATTTATAATTAAAATGACGCAAATAATGAATAACTTGTGACATTCGCGAAACAGTTATAAAAAAAAATTGAAAAATATAAGGTATAATAAAGTCTGTATCTATATTAAATTATAGTATTAATAAAATTATACTAAACATTGATCAACGATTGCATTATCTATTTATTATAAGTATAATAATCATAACATTTAAGTTATCGTTCAATGCCCTTATACACATGCCGTGGTTTATGATTGCATCTGTCACTGCTACAGTGTATCTATATCATATATACGTATTCATAGTCTATATAATGCGTTATTAAGTTAGTATAAGATGCGGTATATAATATACAGAGCTCGTTAATTGAGACGAGACTTTTATACGTGCACAGGTGAGTATACCTAATATAAATGTATATTATTCTATAGGTGCGCGTAAATATGAAATAATTTGTATATCTACCATATATTACATGCGCATATAGCTACTTAAGTACCATATTATATAGATATATATCAGGTGGTGTATAAATAATTGCAACCGCCACGACCACGGGGGTTCTATGATTCAAGTAATTTAGATAATGGCGGAGCGGAGAGGGCGCTAAAAGCTTGAGAAATTTCTTTATAGTTACATCTTTTTATAATTTTATACTTAAATATCAATAAAAGATTCATTTGACTAACTGTAACTTAACAAAAAAAAAAAAAAATAAATATTTTTTATTTATTAGGAGGTAGGTATTATATCATATATATCTATATATACTAATAAGCAAGAAGCCATATAAATATATTTCATACATTTACGCTATATTATTAATTATTATATAGTTTATATTCCAGAATTTTAATCGCTATATGGAAATCCTTAAAATGCTTCTAACATTCCTAAAATTAGAATCGTTGGTATAAATATAATTTAAATGTATAAGTGGCTATACTATGCGTTTGTAATATGAAATACTTTATATACAAATATATATTATCATATATTGTTGTTTCAAATTTTTATTGTACATTATGTAAATTAAAAATCATACAATTCAACCGAAAAAATTATTGGTTGTTTATATTGTTAAACAATTACTTATAGTTTATACAACATAAATATTATTAGGTATATATAGTATATAGACAATACTAATTTTATAAAGAACAGAGTTTTTAAAATTGAAAATGTATAATATAAACTTTATAACCAGCTATACTATAATGCAAGTGTGGTAACATGGTATCGTTCATTAGGTATATATATATACCTATAACATATATATATATTATTAATATATTCGTTTATAGTTTTTATGTAAATTATATATTTTATAATGTTGGTTATTAGTAACTACAGTTTTAACACAATATACTATAAAATATCTTTTAAATATATATATATTTAGTAAGTCTAGGTGGCTTTTTTTATAAATATGACGAAAACATATAAGTATCTACATTGACACACGCACACGACACGCCTATACTATATTATATATGATTTCATTGTTATGGTATGGGGATATATATTTGTCTGTGTGTTTTTATTTATTTATTTTTTTATATATATATATTTTTTTTAACTCACCGTTGTCGTTGTACACAGGTAATGGCAGAGTGATCGGTGCCCCGCTACGCATGCGCCGTCCAGAAGACCAATCGCCGAGCGCTGCTAGTGCCGGACTCATGATGGAGGTGGTAAGACATTCTGTATAGATTCGCTTGTAGAACATATATGTGTAATATATATATATTTTGAGGACTCCCCTTACCTCCAACATACTCGACCATGCCATAACGTATAAAAATATGTACGATTATTATATAAAATGTAATATATAAATATAGATACACCACATCATTATAAGCGTTTTGATAGATTAAAAAGTTTGTGTGATGATTAGATGAAATCTTAGCTAGAATTTTTCATTTCATTTGACATTAACGCATTTATAAGTAATACTTTATTGAGTCAATAATCATCTTCAAAATATCTTATGCGTGTGTATACCAGTTACCAATATACCTATACTTGTGCAGTACCTACCTATTATTACTCAGATTATTTTAGTGACCTAAAGACAAGCAGATATATAAATTATACATTTTCGTTTCCCTACTTATTAGGTATAATATTAAAATTAGATTACATTTTTTCAGAGATTTCTAGTTTCCTTAAATGTATGATATTTACATAACAGCTGGAAGATTCTAAATTATACTCCACAAAATATCAGAAAAAAACTGTTTTTGAATTAAAAAAATTAGCTTTTTATATAGCTGCATTTAAATTTGATAATTAAATAACTCATACCAACATTTAAGTATTTTTATACGATAAATAATTAAAAAACTTAAGAAAAAGCTCTAAAATGACACTAATTGTTTCCCGTATTTTTTTTTCAAGTTCTTAGTCCATAAAATGTATACCATGGAAAAATATACACATACAATATTATTGTAGTGCATAATGCTTTTTTTTTTCAACTTAATTCTTTATTTAGTAATCTGTTACAATCTAAAACAATAAGCTTGATTGATAAAATAATATTATAACAGGAATGACGGAATGAAGAAACCTCCTAATGGAGATACTTTGTCAGTGCATAATGCTATAGTTAAGAATTGTACATGTATAAATAGCGCTGCAGGTCATTGAATATGAATTTTACTATACACAAGAAGCATATTTATTACCAAAATACACAGTATATCTGTAGTCATTTATGTATCCGTAATCATTTAAATGTGCATAATATATTTGTATTTTACCTAAAAAGATTATAATACACCACTATTACCACACTGCAGAACACTAAATAATATACTTAGATGCGCATCCAAACATGGCAACTTCGTATCGAATTATGATATGTATTTATTTTTTTATAGTTGTAGATATTACATATAACTAGTGTACGGTTAATTTTATGATAAAAATAATATATATATTATAACGCAATCAATGGTATATAATTTTATAAGTATATATAATTGTATCGCGTTGGGGTGGAATTATACTTACCGTCGATAAATTTTTCATTTTCACTTCTATTGTGTATATATAACTACCCTATATAGAATTATTTGTTATCAAATCTATAATCTAATAAAAAACATAAAAATAATGATACACCTGTAATTTGTGCGTGCTACGAGATATATACATAGGTGCTATTATTACCATAAATTTTACCCACAGGTATAAGTATAGATATAAATATTATGCATAGCAAACATATTTTTATTTTAAATTTCGTCAAATAAGTGTATATACTCTACATTGTAATCTGTAGAGTCTTTAATATAATATTATATAACATTAAACTGTAGAAATTGCAAATTGATATCAGCATGTAAACAAATATATGAAATATATAATGTATATAAACAAATAAATATAAATTAACTATATTTTCAGTCTCGTGTAGGTATAGAATAATATAAAAATATATTTGTATGTGTTTTAATTAATGGCCATTGGCCATTTTCCACGATAAATTTGTATCCATAAATTTTTATAAAGGTCAACCTTATATGTATATAAGTAGTTATGTATTATACACATTTATGTAGAAAAATCAACTAAAATAGGTTGTTTTGTTCTAAAATTGTCTCAATACTCGCGTAGGTATATACTCATATTTTATAAATAAAGCAGATTAGTAATCTATTTATTATATGCCCCCTCGCGTATTAATAAACAAAAAACATAATATTATATTATGTTTGAATTATGCGTGGTTTTATGGTTTGCATTAAAAACATAGTTTAGACGAATGTGGTAAACCTATATATAACTTATATTATATATTTATATCTATATTACTATAGTTATTTAGCATATATACAAAGATAGTGAATTCCTACATAATTTGTGGAAAATCGAGAAATTTACTTACCATACCATTATATTGTATATTAAGATATAATTTTATATATTATACTATTATACATGTTAGGAATATTTATATCAAAATCTCTTCTACAAAAGTATTGAACGGTTATCTTTCAATCTAAGTTTTGTCAACAATGGAAAAAATTAGATCATTAAACTTCTTGACTTGAAGTACAAATTGAGATTCTCGAAATGCACAAAAATCATGATAATTATTTACTATAGTGGTTGATACAACAAAGTTCTATACTATTTATACAACTATTTGCTAATTGTTAGAAACGTCAATAAAAACATATTTTTTTTAATATTATAATCAGTGCGATCCACTAAGTATGCTTACCCCATTTTTTATTTATTTATAAGTCCCAAATTACATACAATTTTTAATTTTTGGAATCAAATTCTTTCTCAATTATTGAAATGTTTATATTAAGAATAATTTTTCCATAAAAATGGTTTTATAAAAATATTTATAATATAAATGACGTATTATCGGATCTATTGATCTAATATTTATTATATTCAGACTATTTTTATACTAATTAATTATATTTATCGATAAATTATTATAAATAATAAAACGTTTCAAATGATTTTAACCTTCAGATCTGTTTATCTCAAACCCATTATCATAGACGATAGACCTTTCATTCTTAATACACAAAGTTAAATACCTCAAAAATTACTATTGTTTAAATTTTTATTTTTATACGTTAAAATTTTTAAATAATTATATATCTACTAAATAATTTACAGTAGAAAAGAAAGGTTATTATTTAGAGAACACAAGTTTTTATCTCCATAGAACATAAATGTTGTTCACCTCTTTAAGGAATGATACAAAAAAAAAAAAATTCAAGAATTTTGAAATATGGCCTTTGTGAATGATATCATAATTAAAAGTTTCAAAATTCAGATTTTTAAATAATTGCAATATTGAAAAATAAAAAGGAGTTAAGCATGCTTGATGTAGTACTCTTGTAAATATACATATACATATATCTACATATAGCCCCTGTACTGACCCTTTATAATTTTTATATGGTATATACCCGTTTGTTCATACGTTTACCTAATTATATGCGTAGGTACTTTTATCGTATTATTACCTTTCCCGGCGGATACAATAATAATATAAAATATAAACGCCGCTTATATATAAACCAATGTGTATTGTAGAACAAAGACTATATTATGCCTACATATAAACTCAGGGGATGAAATTTGTCGTGTATTAATGGACTTTACTCGAAGGGGATGCAATTCTTCGTATTATATATTAATGGACTCTATATCCGGTGTCGTGGGCGTCGTCTTCGTCACTTTACTAGTACATAATAGATATATTTATATATAATATATGTGTAGTCGTATACATAATACCAATATGTATATGATAATATATATATTAAAATAGTTAACCGCCGTGCAACGATCGATGCGCTTCGGTCGGCTATTCGACGCGGAGCAGCGGCGGCGTCGGCGACGATGGTAATGGGCGCCGGTCACGACATCGCATCCGCACGACAACCCGTCTAAACGTGTGTACTCACCACTACAGCGCTTTGCTGTATATTGTATATTTATATGATATATCTAACGTCGTGTTAGAAAAAACAGTCAAACACACACACACATATACACTTCAGCAGTGTCGTCGACGAGTCACGAATACATCCATGTTTCTCTATATGTTTAATACATAGCCGGTAAAAACAAATTCCCAAATCCTTTACACGCCGTGTGAGGAGATTACACCAGTCGTACGGTCGGCTGTTCAACGGGGGAGGTGAACTGTACAGTAGACACGTACATGAAAAACCGGTCGTCCGTCCTCTGTGTCACGATCTTTTTTTTATTTTTTATTCATTTTTTTTTTTTTTTTTTTTTGTACAAATTAAACGTTTCTCCCAGCGACGGTGTAATTACACGTGAGGGAGAAGGCGGTCTCTTGAGGGGTATGTCCGTAAATGGTTTTTTTTTTTTTATAAACTCCTAAAATTATCTCGGTATTCTATTATTATTATCATTATAATTTTCCAGCCAAGGTCCCCCCGCCACCGCTGCCGCTGTATATACGTAATAATGTAATATAGTGTGTCGTGTTCAAAACGACGATGACGACGACGCCGCCACCGCCTAACAGTCTAAAGAATTAGTTTTTATATTGTATAATAATATACATAGAGAGAGAAAGAGACACGCTCACGCAACCAACAACCGTGTAATTTCGCCACCTCCCACTAATCAAATCAATGCGATTTGAATGTATATGATGACGATCCTTGCATTATTATTGTACACTTGTACATAGATATAAATTCACAATACTCGTGTATCTCTTTCTCTTGTACAATTCGTTAAACTGCAGTTGTAGGGTAGTAACTATATATAAAACTTTATGAGTCTTCAACGTGTTAAACGGTTTTATTTTTATTTTTTTGATACTCTAAAATTATAGTGCACCGTAAACGACGATGTCTTTCCATAATATTATAGGACTACATTGCACTCTGTAGCCGAACAATGACAGATTTTGTGTGTATACGCTGCGATGTATACGTAGGATACCTAATAAAATAAATACTAGCTATCTTGGTATATAACCACCATAAACGACGACTGCATCATCGTCAATGATGGTGGTGTATATAATAGCCATATATATAAACTAATAAATAATAATATAATAACCCTCTTTTTCACGGATCTACAAAAAAAAAAATAATAATAATAATATTAAATAAATCCAAAAAGCCTTCATTGTCTTTATTATATAAGTATATATTAAAATAAT